GGTCTTAATGCCTTAGGCAGGGCTTAGCGCTTAGCGTTAGGCTAACTAGCCTGCCTTCCTCCCTCTCCTCTTAGATCTCTATCGAATACTACCTATACCTACTACTACCCTATCTACCTACTAACATACCCTTCTTATATAGTATTCGATCTACCCTTTAAGGGTAGTAGCTAGATAGTCCTTATTTTAAGCTTTTAGCGGTATAGCTACGAACAAGACTAATCTAACTATATTGCGCCCGAAGAACGGGACCTATACGTACTATTCTACTAAAACAACCGTACCAATTATTAAGCAAGGCCTTCTATACGGCCTATTATACTAAGTTAAGCATACTAAGCCGATATCTACTAATTCCGCTATATCCGCATCTTAGGGGCTAATAATACATTATTAGTGTCGCCCCTTACAATAGCCGGTTTATTACGAAACAACAACCGTGCTGCCGCTAGCAGCGCTAGCAATAACAACACTAGTAGCATAGCACCTACTAAAGTGCCTACTAAAGTGCCTCCTACTAAAGAGCCTACCGGAGAGCCTATTAAAGAAGAACCTATAATTCTAGGTAATAATCTAGAATTGCCTATTAACGATATTCTTAATAATATTGTTAATCGACGATATAGCTAGCTAGCCTTTAGGCCCCAACTAGTAGGGAGACTCTAAGAAGCTACCTAAAACAGGCTTACTACCCTACGTTAAGAACAATAGCTAAAGGATAACCTCCTCGAAATTCGCCGCCTTTAGGAGGCCCTAATAACTAATACTAAGCCGACAGTAGGGCCTTCCTTACTACTAGTCCTAGTCTAGAAGAAGGATGCTAAACTTAAGGACTGCACTGTGTTTAATAGCTCTAGTCGAAAGTAATATAACGACTACATTCGTAACTGTAAGCTTAACTAACGAAACGCACTAAGGGCTCTACTAAATGACTATTTACTAGTCGTCTATGCTATATAGTACATTAACGGCGACCTAAAACGCACCTAGGATAACTATTTTAACTCCCTTAATAACTAAACTGCTGTTTAGTAGCAGACCTACAAAACCATTATACTAGACACCCTTAGAAACCCTATACTAAGGCAACAACACGCTTAGGACTAGTACCTTCGAGCTAAGCAAAAGACTAGTTAATTAGCCCGTTCATTTAAGGCCTATTTAAAGACCCTCGAGGACGATTTGCTAGCTAAGACCGACTCTATCTAGATTTCCGAAATACGCCCTAAATTGCGATAGGAACTAGTCCTCGAATTGGACCGCCGTCGTATGTTCGAATAGGCTAACCTAACACGTATTCAATTTATAGTTAAGGTAGAAACAGCTAAACGAGCTGTCTAGCTCTAGCAACGACTAGAATTAAGGATCCGACCTACTAGCAACCGTAGCAACCGTAGCCGCGGAGGAAACCAAGGTTCCTACTATAACAACAATGCTAACAATAGGAACAGTAATAATAACCGTAGAAGAGGCCGTAGCCGCCGGCTATATAGAGGAGGCCGCGATAGGGGCCGTAAAAGGGGCTCGTATCCCTATAATGCTAACCGCTCGGCTAACAATAGCAGCAACAGCTACGGCAGTCTACTAACCGGATTGAAGTGCTTTAACTACGATAGCACTAGCTATCTACTAGGCCAATGCGACAAACCTAAGGACTAGGCCCGAATCGACCGTGCTACCGCTAAGCACCGTAAGCACCTTTTAGCCGCTAATGCTACCCCTATAGGCTAACCTTCTTATTAGTCGAAAAAAGAATAAGCGCCGCACTAACTGTTAGCCTTATACGGCGTAAGACTATCGACATTGTGCTAGCTATAATACGTTCCTGCCTTATATAGGATACGAAGGGCACTACCTATTAAACTAAGGTTATACTAGATCTAGGAAATTTAGTTAGTGCCCTTATTAGCTATCGCTTAGCTAAGCAATTAGACCTTCGACAACTGCCTAGGACTAACCTACTAACCCTTGCTTAGTTTAATAACGCTCGGCACTTAACCTATAGGGCCTACTATGTTCCTATAGTCCTAAAGGACGACCTCGGAAATAAACGCCTACTAGACTTTACTGCCTACGTAGTAGATATAGACAACCTATATAGGGGAGCTACTATTATTATTAGCAACCCTGTTCTTAAGTACTATACTATAGTTATAGACTTAGGCAGTTAATAATAGCGATTTAGAATCGCTAGGAAAGAGGACATTAAACACATCGACATTAGCGAGTGTCCTAATAATATTAGGGTCCTATTTATTAGTAACCTAACACTAGCCTCCGCCTTAGCTAATCTAACTGCCGACCTGCTCGGTAGTAATAACGATAAACCTGTGCCCCCTAATAGCATAGACCCTAAACAGCTTAAGCGTATACCGGAGCCTATTCGAGAGACCTATATTAATATATTTAAACACTACCTAGCATCGACGTTGCCTATGTTTAAGGAGACGGATTATAAGATTAACATTATAGAGGGTAAGGAGGTTCCTTTTAGCCCCCTCTACAACCTTAGTAAACGAGAGCTTGCTATATTACGTAAGTATCTAGAGGAAAACCTAGCTAATAGCCGGATACGATATAGTAACAGCCCTACTAGTGCACCTATCCTATTCGTGCTAAAGAAGGATAGTAGCTTACGCCTATGTGTTAATTATCGTAGGCTTAACGCTGTTACTATTAAAGACCGCTATCTACTCCCGCTTATTAATAAGACCCTCGACCGCCTTTCTAGTACCTACTACTATACTATATTAGACATTAAGGATGCGTACTATCGTATCCGCATTCGTAAGGGCGATGAATAGAAGATAGCCTTTCGCACTCGCTATAGCTATTTTAAGTACTTAGTTATGCTATTTAGTCTAGCTAATGCCCCTGCAACATTCTAGTCCTATATTAATCGGGCCCTTTCGGGCCTATTAGACTACCTCTATGTAGTTTACCTAGATAACATCCTAGTTTATACACACTCCCCCGACATTGCGGAGTACTAGGCTATAGTCCGCAAGGTACTCGATCGCCTACGAGCCTATAGCTTGTATTACAAGCCTTCTAAATGCATCTTTGCTGCTAAAGAGGTGTTATTCCTCGGCTTCCTTGTATCAACTAAGGGTGTTAAGGCTAATCCTAATCGAATTAAAACCATTACTAAATAGCTAACACCTACTAGTATTAAAGAGCTTCAATTATTCCTAGGTTTTGCTAACTTCTACCGTCGATTTATCGAAGGTTACTCGCGGCACGTAATGCTACTAACTAAGCTTACTAAAACTAAGGCTAACCCGACTAGAGAGTTTAGATAGACTAACAGAGCATAAGCCGCTTTTAACGGTCTAAAGCGACGCTTTACTAAAGTCCCCTTATTATACTATTTCGTGCTAAATAAGTAGATCCGAATTGAGACTAACGCTTTACAGTTCGCTGTATCGGCTATTATGTCCTAGCAATCAGATAATAACTATTATTAGTACCCGATTGCCTTCTTCTCGAGGAAGATAATTAACGCTAAGCGCCGCTACGAGACCTACGAGCAAGAGCTCCTAGCTATTATCGAGGCCTTTAAGTACTAGCGCTACTATCTCGATAGTGCTTAGTATACTATTTAGGTCTATACAGACTATAACAACCTCTGTAGCATTACTAAGGTTACTAGGGTTATAGGTCGATAGGCTAGATAGGCCGTCTACCTCGCTAGGTTTGATTTTAATATATTATATCGGCTAGGCGTAAGCAACCCTGCTAATAGCCTATCGAGGCGACCTAATTACGATAGCGAAACCTAATATATTAATTCTTTGTTTCTAACCCTGCAGTATAAGATTGCTATAGCCCGTATTGTTAATAAGCAAGCGTAGGATAAGCGGCTTACCGGACTCCGCGACGGCTTAAAGCATATTAATGCTCTTGCTATATTAATAGTACGTATTAAGGCAAGGGCTAAGGACACAGATAGGAGAAGTTATAATAACTCCCTAGTCGATATCGCAATATACAGTAATAGCGATTAAAGCACTAATATAGTTAATCCGGCTGCTAGTGCTATTAGATATATATAATGCGTACCTCGTTTAATAGCGAGGGTGCTATTAAATAACCTTGCAAATAGGGATAGTCAATCGTTTATAGATAAGCTATTACGGGCTTAGTAGAGGGACGCCTTTGCTACTAAATGTATAGACAAGCTTATAAGTAGACGAAAGACTCGATCTAGTAAGAGTAGCAATTAGTCGATCGATAACAAAGGTTATTTAAAGTTTAAGGGCAGATACTATGTCCCCGCTAAACATTCGATCTAACAAGAACTTCTTAAGCGATACTATAATAGTAAGCTTGCCGGTTACTATAGTATAGAGAGGTCGCACGAGCTACTATCGCGCATATACTACTAGCTAAATAGTAAGCGGGATATAAAGGAATACGTTAACACGTGTGCCGTATGCTAACGTATTAAGGCACTAAAGCATTAGCCTTTTAGCGAGTTATCCTCTTTACTAATCCCTTACAAGCTATTTGTAGAGCTTATAATAGACTTTATTATAGCCCTTCCGCCTACTAAGCGTAGGGGCAGCAAGGACGTATATAATGCTATCCTTATTGTAGTAGATCGATTTACTAAAGGCGCTCGATATATCCCGGCGCGTAAGGATTAGACTACTATTAATATAGTAGAGGCGCTATAGACTAACATCTTCTATACCTATTAGGGAACCCCTAAGAGGATAGTCTCCGATAGAGGCTCGATATTCACATCGCACTATTAGAGCGAAATATACCTATAGCTAAGACTAAAGCATCGGCTATTAATAGCCTTCTATCTATAGACTAACGGTTAAACAGAGAGGCAAAATGCTACCCTATAGCAATACCTGCGCAGCTACATTAACGAGAATCCTAACGACTAGGTTAACCTCCTACAACTAGCTGAATTCGTATATAACAATAGTGTCTACTTATTAACTAAGGTGTTACTATATATAGCTATAATAGGCTAGAACGCTGCGATGCTACAAGACCCCCTGTCGCTTAAGGCCGAGCGTAAGGAAAGGGAAGCGCGTTAAGTACTAACACCTAAGACACTAGCAGCTATTAAGAGGGTTCAAAAGATGCGAGAAATTTACGCTAAGATAGCTAACAAACTAGCAAAGGCCTAGGCCTATTAGAAGGCCTACTATAATAAACACTACCTTCTAATAACCTTTAAGCAAGGCGACCTAGTTATGCTAAGCACTAAGAACCTCCGTATCCGCAAACACCTATTACCTAATAGCAAAACAAGGCCTAAGCTCGCACTAAGATACATTGGCCTATTCCGCATTCGAGAAGCTAAGGGCATACAGGCTTACTAGTTGTAGCTTCTACCTTATTACACTATCTACGACACCTTCTATATATCCCTCCTTAAGCCGTACTACCTACGCGAAGGGGATGAAGCACCTGCTAAATCCGAGGACATACTAGCCGATAGCGAAGAGCTGTAGTCTATAGAACGTATCCTATAGTACCGGACTAGGAAAGGCAAGAAGGAGTACCTATTAAGATAGTAAGGCTATTTACCTAAATAGGACTCGTAGGAAGCTAAAGCTTCTTTTAAAGACATAACTAAGTTATTAGATAAGTATTAGACTAGTATAAAGAACACGAAGAAGGCTAAGAGCTTATAATGCCTATAATGTTACTACTAAGCCTAGGATTAATGCTACCCCCGGGGTGCTATTAGCTAACTAATTAGAGGCAAGCAATTGTTAGCAATAAAAGACAATAAGACTATACTACTATAGAATCTACCTCTTTACTAGCGCACCCTACAAGACCCTTCTCTTAGCGCCCCCTCTTATTCCTTTATTCTATAGAGGCCCTAAGGCCTAGTCGGTCGACGGCGCGCGCGCGTATAAATAGTAGCGATAATAATAATAACGGCGTTGCGCCTATACTAAAGGATAGCACGGCCGGCGCGGCTATATTAGTAACAGTATTGCGGAGTGTGTTGCTGTTTAAGAAAGGAAGGATATAGCTATATTAGTAACGGTATTACCGAGTTGTTATTAGTTAAAGAAGGAAATTAGAAGAAGGTAAAGTTAGCGCTAAGACGACTAGCGCCGCTATTATTAAATATTACTTGCTATTATCGCTATACCTATAGACACAACCTTACCTACACTACGAGCCTAAGGCACCTTTAATCAAAACTTTAATCAAAACTTTAAGTCGCTTAAAGATTAAGCGACTAATAGACTAGCTAACTAAGGGTAAAACTATAAAGCTAAGCTAGCTAGGGTCGATCTTGCGGATAATAGGTTACTCCTTAATCTATCTAACCCTTTAAGCGAGGCGAACCTCTACTACTATACTTATAATAGCCTTTACCTATAGAAACTAGACGAGCTGTGTTTTTTCGGAAAAGATAAGATAAGATTAACAATTGAAGGCCGCTAAACCTAGCTAATTAGGGCTAGCGAAACTACGAACAATAAGAACAATAACCCTCGGAAACGGACAAACCCTCGGAAGCGGACATTGCTAGGTCTTTTAAGAGTAGACGCAAAGAACTCGGTACGACATTACTTAGAACGGAGGCAGGGCTACAATACCTCGTACGTCTACCTATTATAGTAGGGAAGACGCGCTCGTATTATAATTAGTCGATAGTCCTCAATTCTTATAGTTATATATTACTTTATTGTATGTAAGGATAGCGTAGTTAGAGTTAGACATTGTATTGTATTAGAGGTAAGGTTTAATATGGTTGCATAATCGGTAATTGTGTGTTTGGTTTAGCGCGGACTAAGAAGCTTACTAGACCTGCTAAGTTAGCCGCGATAGAGGTTAAGAATAGAATATAGACCGGCTACGAGGGCGCGGCCTTTAGAAGGGAAGCGTATGTTAGGACTAAAGAGGTTATACGTAATTAGCATATAACTAGGCTCGAGTAAAGCTAGGGTCTTAATGCCTTAGGCAGGGCTTAGCGCTTAGCGTTAGGCTAACTAGCCTGCCTTCCTCCCTCTCCTCTTAGATCTCTATCGAATACTACCTGTACCTACTACTACCCTATCTACCTGCTAACATACCCTTCTTATATAGGCTACTATCCTTCTTTAGTACGAATAGGATAGAGGCGCTAGTAGGGCTATTACTATACCGTATCCGGCTATTAGCTAGGTTTTCCTCTAGATACTTACGCAATATAGTAAGCTCTCGTTTACTAAGGTTATAGAGGGGCCTAAAAGGAACCTCTTTGCCCTCTATAATATTAATCTTATAATCCGTCTCTTTAAATATAGGCAATGTCGATGCTAGGTAGTATTTAAATACCTCGATATAGGTCTCCCTAATAGTCTAGGGTATACGAGCGAGCTAATTAGGGCCTGTGCTATTAGGAGGCATAGGTTTATCGTTATTACTACTAAGTAGGTTAGTAGTAGGATTAGCTAAGGCGGAGGCTAGTATTAGGTTGCTAATAAATAGGACCCTAATATCGTTAGGGCACTCGCTAACGTCGATATACTTAATGTCCTCTTTTCTAGCGATTCTAAATCGCTATTATTAACTACCTAAGTCTATAGTAATAGTATAGTACTTAAGAACAGAGTTGCTAATAATAATAGTAGCTCCCCTATATAGGTTGTCTATATCTACTACGTAGGTAGTAAAGTCTAGTAAGCGCTTATTACCGAGGTCGTCTCTTAGAACTATATAAATATAGTAGGCTCTATAGGTTAAGTGCCGAGCGTTATTAAACTAAGCAAGGGTTAGTAGGTTAGTCCTAGGCAGTTGTCGAAGATCTAATTGCTTAGCTAGGCGATAGCTAATAAGGGCGCTAACTAAATTTCCTAGGTCTAGAGTAACCTTAGTTTTATAATTGTTGCTATATATATCCCCTACGAGACAGGTACGTATAATAGCTAGTACAATGTCGATAGTCTTACGCTATATAAGGCTAACAGTTAGTACGGCGCTTACTCTTTTTTCGACTAATTAGAAGGTTAGCCTATAGGGGTAGCGTTAGCGGCTAAAAGGTGCTTTCGGTATTTAGCGGTAGTACGGTCGATTCGGGCCTAGTCCTTAGGTTTGTCGCATTAGCCTAGTAAATAGCTAGTGCTATTACAATTGAAGCACTTTAATCCGGTTAGTAGATTGCCGTAGCTATTATTATTGTTAGTAGAGCGGTTAGCGTTATAGGGATACGAGCCCCTTCTACGGCCCCTATCGTAGCCTCCTCTATATAGCCGACGGCTACGGCCTCTCCTACGGTTATTATTACTATTCCTATTATTAGCGCTATTGTTTTAGTAGGAACCTTAGTTTCCTCCGCGGGCACTACGGTTGCCGCGGTTAGTACTAGCTAGTCGGATCCTCGATTCTAGTCGTTACTAGAGCTAAACAGCTCGTTCGGCTGTTTCTACTTCGACTATAAATTAAATACGTATTAGATTAGCCTGTTCGAATACACGGCGGCGGTCTAGTTTAAGGACTAATTCCTATCTCAATTTAGGGCGTATCTTAGATATCTAGATAGAGTCGGTTTTAGGTAGCAAATCGTCCTTAAGGGTCTTTAGATAGGCCTCGAAGGATCGAGAGGTTTAGTCGGCCTTTTGTTTAGCACGTAGGTATTAGTCTTAGGCGTGTTATTGCCTTAGTATAGGGTTTCTAAGGGTGTCTAGCATAATAGTCTTATAGGTTTTCTACTAAATAGCGGTCTAATCGTTAAGGGAGTTAAAATGGTTATCCTATATACGCTTTAGGTCGCTATTAATATACTATATAGCGTAGACAACTAGTAAATAGTCGTCTAGAAGAGCCCTCGGTGCATTTCGTTAGTTAAGCTTATAATCGCGTATATAATTATTATATTGCTTGCGACTAGAGCCGTTAAATACAGTATAGTCCTTAAGCTTAGCATCCTTCTTTTAGATAGGGACGGGTAGTAAGGAAGGCCCTACTATCGGCTTAGTATTAGTTGTTAGGGCTTCCTATAAGCGGCGAATCTCGAGGAGATTATCCTTTAGCTATTATTCCTAACGCAAGGCAGTAAGCCTGTTCTAAGTAGCTTCTTAAAGTCTCGCTACTAGCTAGGGACTAAAGGCTAGTTAGCTATATCGACGGTTAATAATGTTGTTAAGAATATCGTCGATAGGCAATTCTAGGTCGTTATCTAGAATTATAAGTTCTTTAGCAGGCTCTCCGGTAGGCTCTTTAGTAGGAGGCACTTTAGCAGGCACTTTAGTAGGCACTTTAGTAGGCACTATACTACTAGCGTTGTCGTTGCTAGCGCTGCTAGCGGCTCCGCAGTTATTGTTTCGTAATAAACCGGCTATTATAAGAGGCGACACTAATAATGTATTATTAGCCCCTAAGATACGGATATAGCGGAATTAGTAGATATCGGCTTAGTACGATTAACTTAGTGTAATAGGCCGTATAGAAGGCCTTACTTAATAATTGGTACGGTTGTTTTAATAGAATAGTACGTATAGGTCCCGTTCTTCGGGCGTAATATAGTTAAATCGATAGTTTTCGTAGCTATACCGCTAAAAGCTTAAAATAAGGACTATCTAGCTACTACCTTTAAAGGGTAGATCGAATACTATATAAGAAGGGTATATTAGTAGGTAGATAGGGTAGTAGTAGATACGAGTAGTATTCGATAAGAAGCTAGGAGGAGAGGGAGGAAGGCAGGCTAGTTAGCCTAACGCTAAGCGCTAAGCCCTACCTAAGGCACTAAGACCCTAGCTTTACTCGGCCTAATTATATACTAATCACGTATAGCCCCTTTAGCCCTAATAGTAGGTTTAATACCTTATTAGTATTCTTATACCTTACCTTACTACGGATTAACGTACTAATCTTCCGCTAATCTTATATAGTAAGTAAGCTACTCGTAGAGGGTCTAGAAGCTATAGAAGGGCGTAAGGACTCGTTTGAACCGTTACGTAGCTTCGGTAGTAGTAGCTTAGATAGGATAACTTATAGATCGAATAGATTAATGCCTATCTTCGAGAACGTAGAGTCTATATTATAAGGTGTTAATACTAGTGTCTAGGCTTACTAGAATAGTATAAAGAAGGCTCTCTTAGTAATGCCTTATATAGCTTGTAACCTATAAAGATAGGCGTTTAAAGTAGTAGAATATTGCGAGGCAAGAGGTACGAATACAGATATATCTAGTAGCTATAACCGATAAGTTAAGTAAGGTAGATATACGCCTACTAATATCTTCCGCTTACTAAGAGCCTAGTTAATAAACTTTATAGTTAAATAAGAGCCGTATCTATTAACTATAAGAAGCCTCTAGTCGCGGCTATTACAAGCCTTCTTTTTAATATAGCGATCGTATACTTTAGTTAACTATTTAAAGCCGAGTTTATCTAAGGTCTACCTAGTTAGAGAGGTTATAAAGAAGGCTATATGCTTATCCGGGTCTATATCTTCTACCTAAGTGTCTTAAAGATTGCTAGGTTAAGCCTTATAGATTAATATAGGCAGAAGGGTAGTAAGGTCTATATAGATAGCTATAATATACGTTATCTACTCTCTATTGCTATTCTATAGGTACCCTATAAGTTGTCTACTCTTAATAGTATACTTTAAGAAGTATCTTAATACCTTGCTTAAGACCTTAATTATAAAGCCCTTCTTATCTATATTTATAATATTCTTTAGCTTAATTTAATACTTCTTAATAGCTGCTTATAGCTTCTCGAAGTACTAAGTATAGGAGATATAACTGTCTGCCTTCTTACGTACCTTGTCTAAGTTGCTAATATATTCTAAATCTAAGTGTTCTTTCTAGCGGTGTTTAAAGCGAGTAGGCTAGTTCTTTCTAGGCATTATACTATAGATCTCGTAGGCGAAATTACGTATTATTACTATAGTAGAAGGGAGGGCTATCTCGGTAAGATAATTAATGTAATTACATAGTGTTTGTTCTTGTTAGGGAGTAAGTAATTGCTGTTCTTCGTACTATTGCTTCTTAGTTCTAGCTTTGCTATTCTATAGCTTACTTAACTTCGTACGCTTAACGGAATACTTTCTTATAGTAGTAGAAATATTCGGCTTCTTCTGCTCTTTCAAATTAGCTATCGCACGTTTATATTGCTCGTCAGTGTCTATAGTTATAGTTGTTGTAAGATAGAGGGTCGAATTTCGAGAAAGCTAAATCGAGGTGTGCGGCAGGCGGGAGTGTGCGGCAGGTGGGGAAGACTTCTATGGCGGAGGTTGGGCAGGCGCCAAGGTTTGGAAAGGCTTGGTCAATCTGCCGCCATACCTCACCCTCCATCCTCCATATCCGGGACACTCCATTGCTACATCCATGTCTGCTCTGCTTCGGGCGCCGCAAGAGCTTTTAACATGTCGATTTTAATCATGCAAAGTCGCTCGACTCACGCCCGATTGATTAGACCCTAGCATAAGATCGACCGAAAACCACGATCGCGAATCCATCCAAGTTGCACTTTGCTGCGCTTCCAAAGCATCCTTCGACCCCGCCGTATCAAGACCAACCAGTCTAGCTGCAAGAAAGACCGGAAGCTGGAGTGCACCGTAGTTCCAGAGAGAAGAGTATGCCGCTTGAGATGTGAAAGCAATGGCCACGAGATCTCTGAAGTGGGAATGTAAGAATGCTACATTGAGCACGTGTAGACTCTCTATACAGTGCCGAACACCATAGCTTCGCAAATACCCAAGGACTTCGTGTTCTAGGATACGTGGAGTTGGGAAAACGGGAAAACGGGTCAAGATCACGCAAGAATCTGGCCTTCGGCTTGAGTATGATCAACGAACGAATGTGCATCAGAGTCGCAGCGGAAGATTTACACACCGATCGCAGTACTTAATTTCTCAAGATCAGTTTCAAGATGGAATGAAGGCCAACCGCGACTTCAAGACCACCAGAGAAATTGTCGCTTATACTACACTATCTCCGGCCGTCAACCCGAATTGATTATGCTCTCAAATCCAAGAAGGTCCTGCCTCCTTGGCCTCCTTCGACGTCTACGCGGGCACCAGGCCCGGCAGTCGCGCAAGTGTACACGGAGTGACTCGGCTCACCACGCCGTCGAGCTGCTGCGGAGTACGACAGTGGATCCAGCCACCGAGCTTAAAATTGGAATAGAAGATAGGTGACATACTTGGGCCGTATGGCGTTGTCATCCTGTCCACAAATTTCTTCAGAATGAGTGGAAAGGTGGTGAAGGGTCGACACTTGTGACAAGCCAAAATCAGATATCTGCGTGTGGGAGCGACTCGTGGGCAGTGGAGTACCCACCTGCAGGTCCCACTTTGGCCCATACTCCGTTCTGACCTCACATGACACCGATGCGGGCGATTGCTGGGGTTATCGTAGGGAGACCAGAGGCCCAAAGTTCTGAAACCAGACGGCAGGCTGTGTTGAAGAGTCTCAACCACAGACTTGTATAGGTCGAGACCACCGCGTGACAAGATGGTGATGCTCTCCAATGAGATTGGCAGAGAGTATCTAGCGATTTTGAAGTCGGCCCAAGCCTTCTCACCTTTGAGTACGGCTTCATCTATTACCAACCTTCTGAGTCTCTCAAATCCATCACACGGATGACGCAGGTGTGGTGTTTTGACTTTCAAGAAGTGACCGATTGAGAGAATGATCAAAGTTCTCAAGGTTTGTCGGTGGTGTTGGAGGCCCACATATAGATTTCGCAGATCAATTTCGAGTTCTCGGGGCTTGGGTTCCACTGCGCGGCCGAATGAGACCGAGAACAGTTTCAAAGGGCCTGATGCCTCGAGGAGGCCTGATAATTTTGCAGGATCCGTTTCGCAGTCGTACAAGTGCAGGCTAGTGCATGCTCGAAGATCAAGTGCGGACATGTTGGATCCGATACCGCCGCTTCTCAAGCCTCTCAAAGTTATATCTTTCGCACATGCCATAGCGTGGAGGGCTGGATCGTCGGTGCTGATGGAGACGGCATGCTGGAACAGAGGAGGAGGGACGCTCCTGCACCCATCTAGATACAATTGGTCTAGTACAGGGCGAGTCCTTCGCTTCGAAAAGATGTGCTTCAGACATTGGCCTGGATGCGGACATTCCTTGCAGAAGTCCATTTCGGTCGTCCAGTCCAGCACTCTTTTGCCCGCGACCAGGTAGATTCTGCGCAGACCGCTCGCGAGATGTACCAAGAGCAGACACTGCGCCAAGAAACAGCCAGCTCTCAAGGCCTTCATCCAAGATTGGTGTATAGAAGTGTTAACGAAAGGCTCGAGAGCATCTTTCCAGAACTCCAAGTCTTGCAGCGAGACATGAAGCTTCTTATGTGCCGCGGCTGCGAAATGTGCATGTCGTATGTGAGCTGCCAGGCTCGGCTGTTCGAAAATCGTGGCCAAAAATTTCGTAGCTTGCCGGCTATAAGTGTCGAAGGTGTGAGAAAAACTTCCGTATAAGCGAGGCAGAGCGGCAAAGCGAAGCGGCCTGCAGACGCAACTTATCGCTGCCAAAGACCTGATCGATTCTGCGGTGTACAGCACGCGGTTGTCTCGATATTTGTATTCGACGACCGCTTCCATGATCACGTCTAAAAGTTCGGGCGGTATGAGGTCCAGTCTCAGGGCCATTTGACGATTTCACAGGGCGAAGAGAAGCCATCGTAGGACGAGCAGTGATTGAACATTATATATAGATATCTCCACGTGGCGACTGCATAAAATGTCAGAACGAATGGATATTTGCTTACTTACGTGCTGCTGCAGTGCTGCGAATGGGCTCGCGCGACGCGTGTGGACCGTCGTCCAGAAACCATCTCCAAACCATCACGTTCCGCAAGCTTTGTCATATACTCTCAAGCAGCGTGATCAGTGAAATGAGCCACGCGAGAAAAGCAGCAATGTTGTGGTATGCAGCGTGGAGAGGCGTCATGGAGAAGCTGGAGCAAGGCGAGGCCCGTGCACGGCTCGGCGGCAGCGGCTCCACACTGGGGTGCAGTAGAGTAGCGGCTTCGGTACTCCACTTCGATGCTTCCTCTACCAAAATCGCGCTGAGGTCGTCTGAGTCGCGCGGGGTGTGCTTGGCCTTGGCCTTGGGGGAACTGTCTCGGCTGAAGAGGTACCTTCTCCTGCTGCCGAATCTTACTTCCTGCGTCTACGCGTGTCGTGGCGCGTTCCACTGCGTCTGCACACTGGGCTTCTCCAGGAAGGAGCAACAAAGCTGCCAAAGTCATCTGCTCGAAGCTCTAGCTGTGTGGTTGGAACGTGTCATACGAAGCAGGAAGCCCGTTCTTCGACCAAAGCAGGGGCCCGGCTCACGCGGACGATACATGATCAAGACCACATCGCCACAATGTGGCCTGGATGCGGATGCGGGCCGTGGAGGCCATTGACTTCATCGCTGCTCCCGCCGAAGCAGAGTCTGTTATGTGCATTCGTGCCGACAAGGCCGCTATACCAGAGCTCGCGAAGATGTCAAGGAGCTGCAGCAGCGGCTCAAGCACCGCGCAGTGAGCCGGCCGAGGAGCACGTTGAGGAGGTCAAGACTGTCCCGTATGCCGAACTTACCATTGGCGTGCCTCTCGAGGTTCGCACCGGCGAGAGGAGAGTTGCCATCACGCCTCAGAATGCAAAACTCCTGCTCAAGAAAGGCTTCAAGCAGATCCTGGTCGAGCATGGCGCGGGATTCCAGGCTCAGTTCTCGGCCCACGAGTATGAGGAAGCAGGCGCCACGATGGTGAACGCCAGTCGAGTCTGGTTTGACAGCGACATCATATTGAAAGTCCGGCCTCCCCGCCTGAGAAGTACCATGGCATCGCCCAACAACTTCCTTCAAGGATTCAAGGCAGGCGGTGTGTTGATCTCCATTCTACAGCCGAATCTTGAGAGGAACAAGAAGATCGTAGATGCCGCGGTCCAGAAGAAGATCACCACCTTTGCTATGGACCAGATTCCTCGGATCACGAGAGCGCAGACCTTTGATGTTCTGTCCAGCATGGCGAATATTGCTGGATACAAGGCGGTGTTAGAAGCGAGTAACCACTTCGGCAGATACTTGACTGGCCAGACCACGGCCGCAGGAAAGATACCACCTGGCAAGGTTTTGGTCATTGGAGCCGGTGTTGCTGGTCTCAGTGCCATTGCTACGGCGAGACGAATGGGAGCCATCGTTCGTGGTTTCGATACCAGATCTGCGGCTCGCGAGCAAGTCCAATCCCTCGGAGCAGAGTTCATCGAAGTCGAGATCAAAGAAGATGGATCCGGAGGTGGAGGCTACGCCAAGACCATGTCTAAGGAGTTCATCGAGGCGGAGATGAAGCTTTTCATGGAGCAGGCGAAGGACGTCGACATCATAATCACTACCGCCCTGATTCCTGGAAAGCCTGCACCGACTTTGATCACCGAGGAGATGGTCGCCGCTATGAAGCCCGGATCCGTGATTGTTGACTTGGCTGCTGAGAATGGAGGCAACTGCGAGGTCACAGTTCCTGGAGAACTTATCCATTATCAGGGAGTCACTGTAATCGGATACACGGATCTGCCATCTCGATTGCCAACTCAAGCTTCAACATTGTACTCCAACAATATCACCAAGTTCCTGCTTTCGATGTCGCCCAAGGAAGGTCATTTCGGAATCGACTTGAATGACGAAGTGGTGAGAAGATCTATCGTCACTTACAATGGTGAGCTTCTGCCGGCTCTCCCGCCTGTCGCTCCGCCTGCACCACCACCTGTCAAGGAGGAAGTCAAAGAGGAGGAAGTCGTTGCGCTTACTCCATGGCAGAAGGCTGTTCGTGAAGTTGGAGTCGTTACTGGTGGCATGACCACTGCGCTGGCACTCGGCAAGGCGACAGGTCCACTATTCATGAGCAACTTCTTCACCTTCGCTCTTGCAGGTCTGATTGGCTATCGGGTTGTCTGGGGCGTCGCTCCTGCTCTGCACTCACCTCTCATGTCCGTCACCAACGCCATCTCTGGCATGGTCGGTATTGGTGGCTTCTTCATCATGGGAGGAGGATACTTGCCACAAACAGTGCCACAGGTGCTCGGTGCCGCCTCCGTTTTGCTGGCCTTTGTCAATATCACTGGAGGATTCGTGATCACGAAGCGCATGCTGGACATGTTCAGACGACCTACAGATCCTCCTGAATATCCCTGGCTGTACGCTATCCCGGGTGTCCTCTTCGGTGGTGGTTTCATTGCTGCGACCACCACAGGCATGGCCGGCCTGGTACAAGCTGGATATCTCGTCAGCTCAGTTCTCTGCATTGGTTCATTGACTGGCCTGGCCTCGCAGGTTACAGCAAGATCTGGCAACCTGCTGGGTATCTTGGGTGTCAGCTCTGGTGTTCTGGCCTCGCTAGCTGCAGTCGGGCTTCCCATGGAATCACTGATTCAGCTCCTTGGTGTTGCAGGTATCGGAAGCTTAGTCGGAGCGCTCATCGGTCGTCGTATCAGTCCAACTGAGCTACCCCAGACCGTGGCAGCACTGCATTCCGTCGTCGGTCTCGCAGCAGTCTTGACTAGTATCGGTGCCATCATGGCCTCTATCAACCATCTCGACATGACGCATATGGTCTCCGGATACCTCGGTGTCCTAATCGGAGGCGTAACCTTCACCGGCTCAATCGTCGCTTTCCTAAAACTCGCCGGCAAAATGTCATCTCGTCCAACAATCCTCCCAGGCCGCCACCTCATCAACGCCAGCATGCTAACCGCAAACGTCGCAACAATGGGCGCCTTCTGCGCCTTCGCCCCAGGAGCACCAGCCATAGCAGTCGCCTGCCTCGGCGCCAACACTGCCCTCAGTTTCGCCAAAGGCTTCACAACCACCGCAGGAATCGGCGGCGCAGACATGCCCGTCGTCATCACCGTCTTAAACGCCTACTCCGGCTTCGCCCTCGTAGCGGAAGGCTTCATGCTAAACTCCCCCATCCTCACAACCGTCGGCTCCCTCATCGGCGTCTCCGGCTCAATCCTATCATACATAATGTGCACAGCCATGAACCGCAGCCTAACCAACGTCCTCTTCGGCGGAATCTCCGCGCCCACATCCACCGACCAAAAAATCGAAGGCGAAATCACAAAAACCACACTCGAAGAAACGGTCGAAACTCTACGCAATGCCCAGAAAGTCGTCATTGTCGTCGGCTACGGCATGGCCGTCGCCAAAGCCCAATATCCCATCGCGGAAATCGTGAGTATGTTGAGAAGTATGGGCGTGGAAGTGAAATTCGCAATCCATCCTGTGGCCGGAAGAATGCCGGGACAATGTAATGTCCTCCTCGCCGAAGCCTCGGTTCCATACGATATCGTTTTGGAAATGGATGAGATCAATGAAGAAGGTTTTGATGATGTGGATTTGACGTTAGTCATTGGGGCTAACGATACTGTGAATCCTATTGCTTTGAGGAAGGATAGGTGAGTCGACACGTGGAAGTGTGGGTGTCTAGGTTTTTTTGCTGACGTTGTGTGTAGTCCGATTGCCGGGATGCCGATTATTGATGCGTACAAGTCGAAACAGGTCATTGTGATGAAACGGGGGATGGGATCTGGGTATGCGGATATTCCGAATCCTATGTTCTTCCAGCCGAATACGAAGATGTTGTTTGGTGATGCAAAGGCGACTTGTGATGCTATTCGGGCTGCTTTGGCGGATGCACCGAAGTGAGATTTTTAGGTAGTAGCTCAGATATTTGCATGGCACTGTTATATTGGGTTGGGGTGTATATGGCGTATGTTGATCATTTTGCATTTGATTTTGAGGGACAGCAAATGGAGAGAGATTGGAAGTCGAAAGCGGTGAAGAGGAAGCTTGATAAATGGAGTCATGCACTTTCCGGTTCATGTCGGCGTCTTTCTCCGAATCCAATGTTTCTGCGCGCCTCATTTGTTGAGCGCTTTGCTCAGTACTTGGTCTCATCTACTTCGTGTCAACGTCTCCTCTTAGCGAACATAGCAAACCCGGCTGTGTGATGCTACCTGCTCAACCCGGCGAAATGCTCAGCCGTCTCTCAATGCCCTCAACGCCGCCCGCTTCGTCATGAAATGCGGTTTCAAATCCGTCCCACCCAAGTCCGACTGGTGATGCCATCGAAGACGCAAGTATTGTCGATAGGAACATACTGCTTTGTGATCACTTTGATCACTTCCTGAGCGATTAGACCACCCGATAGCGAAGCAACATTGTGCAATTCGCCGCCGCCTGCACGTGCAAGCTCGCGGGCGTAGTTGCCTACAGAGGTCTTGATGTTGGAGTACTCTGGATCCTCAATCCGCGTTCCTGCTTCATTGATGATAGAATCGACGACAGTCTGAGCTATTTCGGCTAGCTTTTCGGCATCTTGTTCGTAGTCGTGGGCACCAGCAGCTTGCAGTGCAGGTCCGCCGGGCACAGCTGGGCCAGAGCTGTGGCTGGCTGCGAAGAGGTCCCATGCATAGAAGGCAATGTAAAGGCCGACGAGACTCTCGGGATTGGTGAGCTGGTTGCAGAGGAACTTAGCCCGGTCGCCGAAAGTGGCCTTGATGCCGGGTGTGGCGATCTTGAAAGGTCGGCCACGGACGAGAGAGATGTGAGCAGCTCCTTTGCAGAAGTTCTCGACGTCAGCTTCTGAAATAACCAGATCCGAGGCACGCCCCGTCTCTGCTTCGATACTGCGGACAATGGTCAAGACTTCGGCGGCATCTTTCCGAGCTTTTTGCTTGTAGATGTTTTGCAGCTGGATGTATGTGTCTGATTGAGCTTTCATGTCAGGAACAGCTCCAGGAAGTGGTAGCTCGCCGTGCTTAGCGTAGAACTGGGATACTGCATTTGCAATGAGCCAGAAAGGTGGCGATGTGGATGTCAGTGAGTCCACTTCAGGCGCTTTGAAAATCTCCCGCACAGAAGATGGCGGTGTTGGAGGATTCAGTGTCTTGAGCACGGCCGCACAAGCCTCGTCAAAGTTCTCTTCGCTCGGGCTGCCTGAGCGAACCAGACTTCGGAATGCCGTCTTCTCTTTGTATGATTCTGGTAGCTTTCCGTGTTGCTTCTTCCACTCTTCGAGATAATGTAGCAGCAAGCACACGTATGGTATATGAGCGAATTCATCCTCTTTCATCGTGGACATGTTTGCAGTCTTTCTCCGCGCAAAGTCGAGTAACTCCGGCCATGGTGTTAATAGGCGAAGATCGGTCGTGGCAGTAGGATCTGGATGCGTTTCGACAATCGGGAATGCAGATGGTAGGCAGAGCGAGAAATGGCTGAAGTAGCCAAGCGAGTGGATGTAGAAGGCGGGGATGTCGCGTTTTTGCAGGTGTTCACTGATCAGCGCGAGAACAGTAGGATCGATGGGTGCGGCGATCAGGACGAGGTTATAGGAAGCGAAGAGATTATCCTTGGTTGCATAGCTCTCAAGCGGTTCGGTGATGAAGTTGCCTTGGACATCAGGGTTGAGCTCCGTCAAGTACTTGGCTGTCTCTTCTGCGCGGAATTTGCCCAACGACGAGTCTTCTAGGAAGAAGTTGACGCCCAGATCTGCTTCTGAGACCAAAGCCGAGTCGAGGATGGTGAACTGGCCGACCCCAGGCAAGACGATGTTCTTGAGCGTTTCGACGCCTGTCACGCCTGGTCCATTGTTGATGAGAAGGATGTGCGATTCTTCCAGAGCGATTTGACCAGTTGCGCCCTAGCCATTTTAGCCATGTGCAGCCACAGCAATTGAAGCCATGTTCACTCACCCAAAGCCTCAGTTGCCGGTCGTACTTTCTCTCCTTCGCCGTCGGCAAGTCTTGCAGAGGCGGCGGAACCTCCTTCACCGGGCTCACAGCCGCCATCTTGAGCCTTTTGTGCACTGGCGACTCCACGTTGAATATCTGCTCAAGGAGCACTAAAGGACTGTGTCATGTAAAGGATTGTGGTTGTGTGCCATGTACCTGAGAGCTTGGTTCAGGCACAGGCCAAACGCGAACAAGCGACTCTGGAGCTTCGCGGGGTGATGATGACATAATGTTCGCGCCAAGATGTATACTCTCCTATTTCCTATTATTACTCCCTACATTGCTATTAATTCCAGCTAGCTAGACAAAGAATGTACTGTGGCATGCTCGAAATCAGATTAGAGCAATTACGAGGAGATAAAATCTTGAACGATCTGGTTAAATCGTTTCGGATTCTCCCAGAACACGAAGTGACTGCCCAACTCTTCTGCTGTGAATGTATACGTCGTAGCGCCTGGGATTTGGGTGGCTGCCCAGTTGATACCAGTCGCATTATTTATGCTGACCGCTCCAGAAAGCACCTTTGTAGGAATGTTGATAGTTGGAAGTAGGTCTCGCCAGTCTGCGGAGGCGTGATTGATCAACAAAGTTGCGGCGTTGCTGTCGCTCATTTTCAAGTTCTGTGCTAACATCCAATCCAAGTCGTGTTGAGAGATCTCCTTCGTGAACATGCTGGTAATTAATGGTCTCAGTTCGCTCGACAGGTTGGCGGACAAGGTATACACCCGAGAGGGCTCGAACAAGGCGCACGACCATGTGTCGCGTTGAGCTTGGGTCCAGGTTGGATCTTGTACGAGAACGGAGCACTGATCTGCGATTACGAAGCTTTTCATCCGCCATCGTTGCTTGGGATACTGATCCCATAGCGCCCAGGTTACGGAAGAGCCCATGGAATGTGCGATGATGGTAACATTGCGAAGGTCCAGGCCAGTCAGAATGTCTTTGAGGTCTGCACCAAATCTAGACAGTCGATATCCATAGTGAGGCTTCTCCGAGTCCCCGTGACCGCGATAGTCATATGCCGTCACCCGGTAGCCAGCCTGGGAAAAATGTTCGACCTGCTTCTTCCACTGGGCGGCAGTTTGGCGCCAGCCTGGGATAAACAGTAGTGCGTGGCCATTAGCCGGTCCAGCCTGTATGACGGCCAGCCGGACCCCATCGGATGTCGTGACATTGCGCACACTCGAGCTTTCGGCAGCGTGGCACGCTATCGACCAGCACGCAAGGAGGATGTTTGTGAACAGAGCTGTGAAGTGCATTATTACGAGGTTATGGGCCGAAGTCAGACCATGTGCAACGACTCGGGAGTTTATAGAAGCCCCAGACGATGATGAAGATAGCAGGTCGAGTGGAACAAGCCCCTCCCATGCGGGAGAAGATGGCCATATAACTTGCCATGGGTTGCATAGTGTCAATGCTCAATAATAATGCATGGAGGACGGCGAAGATGAGGGGAGCATGTCCTTGTTCGGAGAGAGGACGTCCAGACGTCGAAGACAATAATAATGTGGGGGAGAACAGTGCAACTCCGAAAATTGTGCTAGCTATATATGGTTAGTGCCAAATCCTCCTCACATGCCCGCGGGCATCGGGCATCACGCATCCCCCCGTCGACCGTGATGCTAGGCTTTGAAAGGCCGAAGACATTGACAATGTGATGACAATAATAATGATGAGGCTATACAGTGCTGTGGAAGCACTTATATCCTATGTGGCCCGCAGCCGCGTGTCAGCATGTCCATCGTACCTACGCTCGGGCACCTGGCACGTCTCAAATTATGGATGAATTCCCAACCTATCCGGATCTACGACAGAAGGTCGCCCTTGTCATGGGCATCGGGCAGACCACAAGCTGCAATCCAGAGGCTTGGGGCAATGGAGCAGCCATCGCACTCAGACTCTCACAAAACGACGCGTTCGTCTTTGGATGCGATTTGGACATGGCCGCAGCAGAGCGAACGAAATCCCGACTGCCGGGCCCATGCACGGTCATGGCCGCTGATGTGACATCTGCCACCGATGTCTCGCGCGTCGTCGATACCTGTATATCCACCTACGGCCGCATAGACATCCTCATCAACAACGTCGGCTTCCCAGTTCAGGGAGATGCTGTGAGCTTACACGAGGGACTTTGGAACTCGCAACTCCACATCAACCTCAACAGCGTCTACCTCGCCTGCCAAAAAGTCATACCTATAATGCAAGAGCAGGGCTGTGGATCAATCGTGAACAATTCCTCCATCGCAGGACTCCGATACCTAGGCAAGCCGCAGATCGCGTACAACACTGCCAAGGCCGCTGTTATGCACTTCACACGAGTGACAGCCGCCGCATTTGCCAAGGACGGTGTGCGTTTGAATTGTGTGGCTCCAGGACTGATATTGACACCCTTGGTAGAGGCAATGGAGTTCAGTCCTGATGAAGGGAAGAGAGAGATGTTTCGGAAAGTGACCGAGCACAACGTGCCAATGGGCCACATGGGTACACCTTTTGATGTGGCCGATGCTGCTGTGTTCTTGGCAAGTGCAGCAGCAAAATACATCACAGGACATACAATAGTTGTGGATGGAGGGTTGACCGTCTCCACGGGGACATAAATGCCCATTGTCCAGTCTCGATCCGTTCCTGGATATCCATAATAATCCATATGTACCAGCATCATGCTCTTATTAAAATCCCGGCTCGCCGAGGAGATTTGCGCGGGGTTGTTTACGACTCGCATCTCTCAACAAAAGTTCAATGGTGAAAAGTGCAAGTTGCAAGTTGCAACTGACCCGACAAGAGCAGAACATGCGATGGACAACGCTTCAGTCTCCCGAGACGAGGATATTGGAGACACTGTGCGCCCAACAGGCCGGAAGCGACTCTTCATTGCTCGAGCGGTGCGTCCCCCAACCAGCCAGCGGACCAGTTCCTGACGCCAAAACAGGCGTGTCATGCATGCCGCACGAAAAGGACCAAATGCGATGAGGGCTCACCTTGCGGTCGATGTCGCCTTTTCGGTATTGACTGTATATACAATGATAGTCGGGGCTTCCGGTGAATAGATTCGTGATCCTGCACGGGCTGTACGGCTGACACCAAGCAGACACGAGACCTCCCTTAGTGTCATCATGGCTGCCATAAGACGTATCGAGACTAAACTCGATGGCAAGCCAGCCACGCCAGATGCCAGGCAGGTTGAGCCGCGCCCTGAGACTCATGATTCAAACTCATCGAGTCAAACTCGGTCGCCTCTCTCAGAACCGACGATCAAATCACCGCAGTCGGCTTCCCATGGCGATGCCGAAAGTGTCAAATTATCCTTCAGCGCTCATCGCATCATGGACTGGACCCTGCATGTTAAAGACCCAGAACTACGACAGCAACCTTTGCATCTGGAATCGAAGCGACCCATTCTACCTCGTCGCGTGATCTCTTATGACGAGCGTCCCTCACCATTGCTCTCAACGCTGAGTCTGTCTGACTTGAATACACTCTGCGAACTATACTTCGACACATTCAATCGCACGGCTCCGATCCTAGATCGCGAGTCCTTCTCCAAGACAGTCGGCGTCGCAGTAGAGACCGCATTTGGGATAAACATAGAGTCGTGCCTAGTTTTGACCGTCATGGCTCTGGGTTACATGGCACAAGACGCGTTCAATGAAGGGGGCTTTGCCTTGTCTTCCTCTATGGAGGCACGAAACCTGTCTCCCCCCAATTGCGATTCTTCAACACCACAAAACTGTGAAATCGCGCTGCGACTTTTCGACGAGAGCCGAAGACGCATCGGATTTCTCCTCAGTGAGCGAGACATTCAAAGCTGCCAGTACTTTCTTCTCGCTGCAGCTGTATACGCCGTCTTGCTACGGCCGCTTGATGAATGGGCTATGACCAGTCAGGCTTGCACAATCATCGCAGCCTTCTGGCTGTCACATCCTCACCCGGCTGATGACTATGAAATCGACTTACAGCGTAGACTGTTTTGGACGGCTTTGATGAGGGACACCATCCTTACGGACGAGCTGGAATTACCTCCGAGCTCCCTTCAAAGCCTTGAAGGGCGTGTCGCTCTACCAAAATTCATTCGACACGGACATCCGGCAACAAGCGGTTGCGATGACTATTATCACTGCCACTACCTCGCACAGATCGCGGTACGAATCATTATGACACGTATCCGCGATGAGCTCTTTCATACCAATCCTTCAGCCTATCTCGCTCAGGAGCTATTTCATCAGCTAGAGCAGTGGCGTTCGAGTCTCCCTTCGTCGATTCGAGATGATCTTGACAGCGAACCAGTCGTCCACAATCATCCCGCGCAGACTTTGGCTGTGGCTATGCTACAGGGCCGCTACTGGATCTCGATATATCACATTGGCAGGCCTTTCTTATACAAAGCCCTCTCAAGCGTTTCCAAACTTGCCGAGAATGATCTCGATATTTGCAGACGCTCTGCTGAGGCTGCCATCGCATGGTTTGCGGCTTTCCAGCGCTGCATAAAGATGCGTGGCTATATGCATCTCAATTTCTTCGTCTGCGGCCAGTAAGTATGGTTATGATGAACCACGATGGCAATTGCTTACGGTGGGATAGGTTGTTCGGGCAGCTTCTCATAATGCATCGGCTGAAGTCTGCTCCAGAGGCCAAGATCCGAGAAATCGTACCCGAAAGATTCGAGACTTCCTATCGCGAGGCTCTCTGCTTCATGCAGGAGATGGCCCCTTTCAATCCCACTGTCGCCCGCGACGTGCGAATCCTCATGAGCCTCTATGAATCTCAAGCTGGGAAGCCTTGAAACCTCGAAACGGCAGGACTTTCGTGACTACCGTGCGCGCAAATCAGAAAAGCTGCTGCACATAGCCAATTCAGATCGGCTCAATAATGATAAATGCGCACTCTGGTTTCGCCCAACAGACTTTTGGACCTTGGACTCACGTAGCCATAGGTCAATCGGAGACCCACCGCCAGCACTGCTGTGGGGAAATTACACGCCGCGGACACAGATATCTTTGCCCGCGCTGATTCTCCTCCCTGACCGGGACCTCGACGTCGCGATTCGGCCAAGCCAGTTGTCAGCCATCCCGCCTTGGAAGGGTAATCGAGCAGAAATAGGAAGACTAGTGGGACGGAAAGAATCGTGATGGGAACCTAGATAAGGCAGATACATCAAAATCCTTCTAGCCCGGCAATTCCAACCCAACAGTTCTCCGCAATGCAGCCTCCACATACACCCTCCAAGGTCGCAGACGTGGGAAGATGAATACGACTCGAATCGATCGTCTCTCGACACGGTATTCTACCAGTACAACTCCAGGAAAGGATCCACCTTTCGAAGACCAGCGTCGTGGCGTAATGTTGTACGGTGAACGCACGCCAGGCGAAGAAAAAGACGGTCAGCCATGGTAGAAGGCTTCCAGCCTTGGCGCACGGTCAGCCTTGGCGCACGGTATTCAGCCACTTCCGTAGACTATCTTTATATGTGAATAACTCTACAACTATAGACCCGATTGACAAGGCGATTGATGATCTAAATAGCTAGGACACTCCTAATATCGCTGCTACTGCTAGGACCTATAGAGTGAACCGTTATACGCTTTCTAAGCGCTAGAGAGGTATCTAAGGTAGCAAACAGGCCTAATACGAAGACAAGCGATTATTAAGTGATCCATAAGAGGCTAAGTTGGTCCTATATATCAATAAGTTGACTGACTTAGGCCTACTACCGACTGCCTAAATAATACGGAATTTCGCTAAGCAGGTCTATAGCTAGGAGCCTAATAAGAACTAGCCTACTAAGTTTACTAAAAGGCACTTAGACATATTGTCTTCTAAGTACCTTAGCAACCTAGATAAGGCTCGGAAGAAGGCTAATTCATAGTCCTCGTATACTAACTACTTTACTAAGCTAGAAGCAAAAATAAAGAAGTATAATATTAAGCCTAAGAATATATATAATATAGATAAGAAGGGCTTTATAATAGGTATGCTTAGCAAAGCTAGAAGGATCTTTACAAAGCAGGCCTTATTAAGTAGCTAGCTAAAGGGGCATATACAGGATAGCAACCGTAAATAGATAATAGTTATTGCCTATATTAGTGCTAATAGTAAAGCACTGCTACCTGCCTTAATCTATAAGGCTTAACCTAGCTAGTTTTAGGATACCTAGGTAGAAGATGTAGACCTATAACAGCATACAGCCTTCTTTACCGAGTTACCTTCTAGCTAGACAAACGATAAGCTTAGCTTCGTATAGCTTACTTAAGTATTCGATCGCTTTATAAAGCAGAAGGCTCGTAATGGTCGCTCTTAGCGGCTATTAATGCTAGATAGCTACGGCTCTTATTTGAATATGAAGTTCCTTAACTAGGCACTATAAAGATAGATACTAATAGGCGTGTATCCGCCTTATTTAACCTATAGATTACAGCCTCTAGATGTCTCGTTGTTTGCGCCTCTTACAAGCTATTATTTAATAGCCTTAAACCAGTTTATACACAGATCTATAGGTATATAGGGTATAATAAAGCGGGTGTTCTTTAACCTATTCTAGCAGGCTTAGACTAAGGCTATAGTAAAGAAGAATATATCTAGTAGCTTCTAGAAGATAGGCATCTATCCGTTTAATCTAGAGGTAGTACTATCTAAGCTAAAGAAGCTAAAGAATAAGACAGAAGCGACATCTAGTAAGCAGGCTAGTAGGCCTTCCTTAAAGGCTTTAACTAAGTCGAGTATTAAGCGAGCTAACTAGAAGAAGATTGAGGCTATTGTTAAGACTGTAGTAGACGCGAAGAACTCGAAGAAAGTGCTAAATCTAAGGGACTAGGTTAGCAGCTTACAGGCTCAGAATATATAGCTCTTAAGTTAAGTTAGTAGACTTATAGCTACTCTTAGTAATAAGCAGAAGCGTAGAAAGCGAGGTAAGAAGTTGTTTAAAGAGATAAGGGCTAAAGACGGCTCTACTGCTATGTTTTACTTACCTAATAAGATTTAGTAAGCAAGAGATATACTTACTAGGAAGGAGCAAAAGAAACAAGCAGAGGCTGCTTAGAAGGAGGCTTAGAGGGTCTAGTAGCAACTAAATAAGCAATATACTATATAGGCTAAGGCACTAAAGGCACAGTAGAGACAGGTTGCTACTAAGGAAAGGAAGGAGAAACTAGCTTAGAAAGTAGCCTACCTCTATTTAGGCGCTTCGTAGTTGAATTCGTGTATATACTCGTAACTTCCATTTCTACACTATACTACATTAGGTTTAGCGCCATTCGAGATCTTATTCTAGCGAAGCGCCTAAAGCTAAACCGTTGCTAGCGGGTATAGGTTACGTTACCACTACTATATTTTATATCGAATAGGCTATATAGCTTAACAACTATTAGTCGCAGTATAGCACTTTATAGAGACGGGACCTAGATAATTTAGCGATTAAGAATATCCGCTATTTTAATAAGCTAGTCGCTTTAGAAATGCTAAAGTTATTATCGATAAACGTGAATTGCTACTCTCGACTAACTCGTTTGCGCTATTTCCGACGTAGACGAGAACTCGATAGCGAGAAGTCGCGCGTAGGTACGTATAGCGAAGAAGTTAGTCGGATAGCCCTAATTAAGGACCTCTAGGTATTGACTTAGTGTATAGCGATATGTTGAGAATCGGTGTATTTGGATAGGCGGATAGCTGTAGAAGTAGGCTCGGCTAAATTAGTGTAACTTAGCGCGTATACGTCGCATACACGAGATTTTTAGATCGTTAGACTCGCAATTAGCAGGGCTACAACCTCCTCGTATTGGATTTGCTAGTTGTCGTTTGTATAGCGAGATCGTATTTTGATAGCGGAATCTACGATAAAAATTAGCGGTTTAGCTTTAGGCCTTTAGGCAAAGGATTAGGTAGAGTAGTATATAATTAGTTATTCGGAAAGACGGAAGCTAGCCCTAATTTAAATCTATTACGTGCAATCTGACTAATTCACCACCGCGCAACGTAATCCTGAATGTATAAAGGCCTAAACGGAGGTAGGAAAGTAGCTAAGAAGGAGATAAGGAAACAGTTAGTTATAGCTACTAGATAGCTAAACAACAATCTTTAGGACAGTATTAAGAAGGTAAGGAACCCTCTAAGGCGTATTGTATTTGAACAGCTATAGGAAGAAGATGTTATATATACTCTAAGGAAGAAAGCCGGAAATCGGGCTTTAGAGGTAAAGCGAGCTATACTAATTATAATACTGCCTATAAGGGTCTAGAAGTTGTCCTAATCAAACCGGCGTAGTCGAAATGTATATAGAGGAAAGCATTAATAGTATAGCCGTTATATTAATAGAATGCGACCGTAGAGAAGGTGTATAAGTTGAATTATAGAAAGCGTGCGCCAAGGCTGACCGTGCGCCAAGGCTGGAAGCCTTCTAATGGCCTCTGTCTTCTTCAAAATTCGGATGCTTGGGACGTCGAAGACGCAATGCTTATGCGATCGAGAACATGGAAAACTGTGTAGGTGTCGTATGAAATCACCTGTATCTTTGTTGAGAAGCTTGCTGTTACCAATATTTCCGCGGTCGAGGTAATTGAGAAGATAAAAATCCAGCTGCAGAGAGGGAGGAGTATGGGGAGATTGATACTGTTTGGTGTCATTGCTGGGTAGGACGAGATATTTAAAATCTCTTCGAGGTGGTGATTTCTGGTCATGTTGATCGATTGGCGTGGCCATGGTGTGTGGGCGGATACAGAAGATGCGAAATGATTACTTCTTACATGTACATTGGCAAGTTCGCGACGCGATTCTTCCCACTTTATCTTTGAGCAGGCTTTCTGGGGAGATCGTGGCATCTTGACCCTTGAAAAGTAATAACAATAAAGTAAAAGGTCTACATGCACGTGATTGAAGGCAGAGGAATGACGATGCTCAGGCTCAGGCGAGGATGCATCCATCTTCCAACCCGGTATTCTCCTAACAGCTTCTCGAGTTGCGCAGGGAGTTCCAGAACTTGGGGCTCTTGAATCCATCGAGGGAGAACCGTTTGCTTCCTGTTGTTCACATCTCGTTCACTCCAAAGCGGACCTATTCTCCAAGACATCCACTCTTCGAATGCAGACTACGACCGTTGTGAATGTATCTCAAGAGCAGTTCCCCGAATCTAGCCCTGTAGTTCACTGTATCTCTTTACATACACCTCCCCAGACTCCAGACCAAAGTAAACAGCAACCGGCTTTTGCCCACCCTGCTTCCCAGCCTTCTGCGTCTGAATCCCGTTAGGACCTGCAAAGATGCCAACTTCTAGTACGCCGGCAATAGCCTTTATCCTCGCACTAAGCGTTTCTACCTCCCAGACACCATCTTTCCCGCTCCCGTCTTGTCCATTCTTCACATCCAATCCCGTCAGAAGCGTCTTGAAAGGCGCATCTACAATATAAAAGCTCTGGTCCGTCTGGACCGGTCCAGTCTTCGAAAGTGTATGCTCACGCAAAACCGGTGCTGGAGAGCCAAGCAATTTGAGCTCTCGAATCACACTTGCGTGTGCAATGGGAGCAATCTCGATGGGTATCGTCGGCCACGCCGTCAGCAATCGGCTCTGGTTCTTCCTGTAATCTGCTATGCAGATGAATTTCTTGGCTCGACATGCCACCAGCTTTTCTTGAAACAGACACGCTCCACCTCCTTTGATACAGTTCAGCTCTTCGTCCACTTCGTCAGCACCGTCGAATGCAACTTCCAGCATAGCTTCGGCGGGTAATGAGTCGAAGGCGATAGGTGTGAGGCCGGCCTTTTCGATGACTTTCCGCGAGTTCCAGCCCGTAGGCACGAACCAATTGATATGGCCGGGAGGAGGAGGGTGTTTGGCCTGCGAGCAGAATATCAGCCGCGATACTACTACCTGCCATTCTCCCATTGCATCATGCATGTTTTTTCCTCATCTCCGTCCAGCTCTTTCTCAACCTGGGGCCCTCCTCCTGCAAGTCAAGAACTTGCACTCACCAAATGATCCTTAATAGCCTCAACTCCATAAACAATCGTACTTCCACTCCCGATCCCCACAAACCTCATGTCACTCCGAAAATGGTCTTCCACAGCTTTGTACGCAGCCTTGCGTTTCGCCGCCTCAACCTTGGCTACTGCCGCAGCAGCCGCATCTGCATCTGTCGGCATCGAGAAGGATCGAAGGCGAGGCGGAGAAAATATGCCGCGTCGAAATGTAAATTTGTCTGCTCGTATGAGCTCAAGGTACTTGTGGTGGTGTGATTCATGCGGAAGGAGACTCACAAGAACGAGAAGCAGTTTTGAGCATGTGCAAGAAACCCCTACGCGAATTTTGAAGGCGTTTGTGACAGACACGAGATTCAGAAGCGTAGAGGGAGAGTCATCAGCATGAAAATGCAAGAGTGGAATGACCAAGCATCGCATAAGTTGCTCTGCTCAACTTCTCGCCGAAGTGAAAGCTTGGGACAAATGCATGGGCCCCGCCATCTGAGCGAGGACCCCTCTACGTCTGTGAGGCTCAACTCCTTCCTGCATCGAACTCTATACATGCGCTTACACTTGCCTCCGATGCATTTCGAGACTACATGTATTTTTGATCAAGTCTCTCTGGTATGACGTCGTTCCATAGACTTTGGTACAAAGATGCAGGTACCCAAGTACGGGCTGTGACATGGACGACACGTGAAGACGCGATGCCACGGCCTCCGAAACGTGTGCCAGCATGATGTCGTGTTCCCTAAGCTGTGCTCGAGTTCAGTAGTGCAGCCACGTATTTGAGATGAGAAAAGAAGTCATGTCTTGTAGAGCAAAGCGTATTTCAGCCTGCTCGCCAGTGGTATTATCAATTTGAGCAGCCTGTGGTCTAGGTGTATTGATCTCTTGAGTGGCATTGTCGTTTGTCTTGCTGCCCTGCCTTGAAAAAATCGGCATTGTGGGTCAGCGTCGAAGCAGAAAAATCTCATCGCCGGTGCTTGAGCTCTTCAGAGCACCAGTATTTCGCAGAGTGGTGCCGTCGGACCACCCGCCCACGCACCAAAAATCCTTGTTAACGCCGTGCTCGTCCCAATTAGCCAATACTATACTCCGTCGCTATGCAGACCAAAAAGTGAAATGAACATGCCCTTCGCTATGCTTTGCTTGATGTCGTGAAAACGGAAAGGGGTATCTTGAACAACCAGACGAACACAAGGCACAGTACAAATGCAGCCAAGGAAGTGACCAGTAGCCATCATCTCAAATGTAAAGAGTCCGTAAGGTCTCCACAGGCGGCGTCTCGGTCAAGCCTTTCGCTCGAAGTGCCAGGCCAGCGGCAGATGGCGACTCTGTTCTCTTGCAATCGGCCTGGGACCGTTCCTTACGAGCGGCTTTCTGCGCCTGTTTCTTGATGTCTTTGCGGTCTCTGGCTGTCACGCGAGGGCCTGTCTGCTTCTGGGACGTTTTGCCGGCCCGCTGGTTGGTATCTGGCGGTTTCCGAGGGCCGTGAAGCTTCAGACGAGGTACTGCCTTGGGGGGTGAGACTCCAGAGGGATCGGATGGGTTTGAAGTCGGCTTGGTCTCTCGGTCGTCTGTTGACGTGGGCTGTGTGGCTGTCGACTGCTGTGACGAGTCCGGCTGGCTGGAGGCTTCTGAATCGAAGCTGCCGAAGGACTCCTGACTTCCATCGTAGGTAGATAGCTGCGATAACGCGTGTCTGGTGTCCTTGCCACGCTCTTTCAGAGCTCGTGACGCTCGGCTCATACGCCTGTCTTGCTTCTTGTTGGGTCCGTCGTGCAAGTCGTCATCACTGTCATGGTCACGCTCGACACTCGAACTCTCCACGTGTGATGACGTGCTGCCGTTCTCTTCTGCTTCCATGAGTGCATCAACGGCGTTATTGATGTTGCCACGTGCGGCCTCGAGGGCACGCTTGATCGTGATCTTATCGGCCAGATATGGCAATGACTTCTCCACCACTTCAATCTGCCAGGGCAGCACGTGGGGTGTGTGTGCAAGCTTCTCTTGCTGCCTCTGCTCTTCTTCGGGGGACAGTACTTTCGGCGACACGTTCGGGGGACCGTGGTATGGTCCGTCGAGGTTTCGTATGGAAGAGTAGTGTTCCCACATGTGATATGCAATGTGGGCAACAGGCCGGTCGGCGTCATCTCCATGTGCACCGGTCACCATGAAGGCGAAGTCTCGCTGGTAGATCTTCACGTCATACCCGAAGGCAGATGAGAAGGCGGTGATCTCCATGTTATCTCCGTAGGTGCCACCACGTGCCATACTGTCGAGATGGCTTTCAAAGACACGGTCGATTTCAGCAGTGGAGGGAGGAGTGAAATTGGCTGGCGAAGAATATGCCCCAGCATTTTTCCGTTTCGGATTTCGTCTGATTCCGCCGCCTGGGTGCACATCGATGAATTGCTTGTAGTAGTCGGCGTGCTCTCGCATATATTCTATGACACGCTGTCGTATAGCGACATGCTCGTTCTGGTGGCCGTAGAGCTGGTCGGAGAGGGCGTTGAAGAGGCAGTTGCCTGAGAGGAGGCAGGATTAGTACGACAGTGACAGACATTAGGGTGGCACGGCACGGCCATTCAGGTGGGTGTGCGTGCGTGCGTGCATGTGATTGCCAATTGTTCTTACCATCACCACGGATATCAGAAGCGAACAGGCCGAGTGAAGTTAGCAGTGGGAACTCCTGCTCGCTGCCGCCCATGGCACCTCAGCTCGGAGAGCAGCGAGTGGATGGGAGCTGGTGGTGACTGTGCAATGCAATTAGCGACAGTCATTTGAAGTCAAATGGGCGCCCAGCGATAGTTGTTGCTGGTGCGTCGAGGTTTGTGGGAGGCACATAGGCAAGCAAGCAAGCAAGCAAGCAACAGGGCAAAATAGACAACAGCAGGTACGAAAGAAAGCTTGCTGCACCCGCACCCCGGCACGGCTTGTAGCAGCGATGCACGGGTCAGGAGGAAGACTTGGATCGGAATTATGATTGAAGAGCTGACTCTACCTTTTCGAGGGGTCTTGACACGCGGACTGCTCCCCACCGCCGTCACGCGCGAAGAATGACTGCGGAAGTTCGTTGCTTGCAAGCGGCTGTTGTCGCAGCGGTGAGTGCTCAGTGGTGTGGTGTGGTGGGTGTTGGGTCGACTGATGCCGTACTGTCTCTGCCGACCGAAGCTCAAGCCAGCTGCCTACAGAGCCAGAAGAATAATGACGTCTCGATGAGAGTAACTTATGCAAGCAATGCGAGGGAGATTGAAATATATAGTGACATCGCATACAACTCGGCCACAAACCGCACCGGGCAGCGGTCCTCAGTGTCCTCACTGCTTTCGAGGTCGCGAGCAGCCAGTCGGCAAACGCTGAATGCTACAGTACATAGCATAGGCCGCCGCTCAAAGGCACGGCACGGCGAGGTCAAGTGAATATGACGGCTCGAACAACAATCAGGTGAGCTGTCTCACGCAGCACGCAGCATGAGTTCGTGACCTCAGGAACATACAACATACGCACTCGTGCGCCACGCTGACTGCTCATTTTGCATTTGTTGCACAAGCTCCGCCCGCACCTCACCCCACCCCACCCCACCCCACCTCTAGCACATCAAGCATCCTGATCACCGCCGCCATACTGCACTCTTCTCTCATCACATGAAAGGCATCAGCGGCGCGCCGGCCCAGCCACAAGCATTTATTAGAACAAACACTCAGCTTCGGGAGGAACCGGGAAGGAGGGGCAGACGAAAGACTCTCCAGCTCAGCACCTTCTCTGACTTCTCGACCTCCTGTTTCACGCGGCGCCTGCTAACAACTACCAACGACCCGCCCAACCATGAAACACTGGACTCATCACCACAAGCGCGTCTACCACCCTATCCGCCCTTCTACGGCGACATGTGGTTGTTTTCAGAAAAGCTCGCATAAGCTACTACCCGCCTCGTTGACGTACAGCGATCAGCACCACTATCAACGGTAGTTCGTGGTAGGTCGAATGGTAGCTCAGCGACGCGATAGCATGAACAAAAGTGTTCGAAATGCTGTTCCATCTCGTTGCTCACGTCTCTCGTTGTTTTTGCTTGTACTTCTTTGCATCGAATTCGTCGGCCTCCTCATTCCAGCAGCACATCGGACCCACAATCTTTGCAACCACCTTTTTCACTCCTTGAAAATAGACCCGCCGGAGGCTGGACCTCACACTTGATAGGGACCAACTCATACCAACTGGCTTGCACAATCCGAGAGCATTGAGACGACTTCACGAACACTCATTGACCGGCCAGCCAGTATTGCAGTTTCAGCATCATCACGACATTGACAGCAAAATATCAAGAAAGGAACCTGTAATCCGCGAATCGGGAGCAGCCGGCGATCATGTTGGTCATAGCATTACTCTGGCTAGTTGCAGTAGCTGTGGCCATACCTTCCCACCATCCCATGCCAGCAACATCACGCCACAAAATGCTGCATCACAGACACGCAAGAGCAGCAACGGTCACTCCTCGCCTGGTCAACGTTACCTACATAGCAAATGTGACAGATCCATCATTGACTCGAGACTCCTGCGGCTCTGTTCGCGTCGGCAACAGAGTCCTGTGGACCTGCAGAGACACGCAAATCTTCAGCAATGACAACAAACACGACATGAAGATCCAAATCCTACCAATCACGCCAAATTCCGCATCATGGACAGACCTCGCAGGCGAAGGAGGGCCGAAGATTGCGGCAGGAGAGGCAGGAGCAGCATCTTCTGGCGCGAATCCCATCCTCACAATGTACGGCGGTAATGCTTCCTTCTACCCATCTTATTTCCCAGTCCTTGACACCCAATGCCCTCAATCTGGCGCCTGTCAGGACGGAAGTCGATACGTAGTTTGGCCTGATCAACCTCCTCTCATCACGCGCCAGCGAAGCGATGGCAGCGCTGTGGGATATACTTGGATTCCCAATCAAAGACTGCAGGGTGGGTGGAACACAATGGATCCTGAGCCAGCCTACATCCTGTACAGGTCTGTTTACACCCCAAGTCTGGATCCGAACGCCCTGCCTACAGTTTCCATCGTTTCCCCGACCTTCTTCAACCTAGGAGAGGTCGGGTTTGGGAGATATGGCCATTTCATTAGGAATGGAACAGCATACCTTTACGGCCAGACTGCAGATAAAGGTACCGTCTTGGCCAAGGTTGGTGTCAATATGATCGAATATCGCTCTGCGTATCGATACTACAACCCGTCAACCTACTCATGGGAAACCACTGCGCCTACTTACAATTCGACCTCGCACGCAATTCCGAATGCTAGTGCTGGCGGCCAAGGCACGTTTTACTACTCTTCTTACCTCAAGTCATACGTCTGGATTGGTCAAGGGATTGGAATGGTCGGCGCATCCGCAGCATTCTTCATCAGCACAGCTCCCGCTCCTGAAGGTCCTTGGGTCAAGCCATATCAAATCTGGGAAGGTGAGAATGGTGACAACCACCAAGCACCGAGCTACAGTTTGCAGGCGCACCCGAGTCTTCTTCCTAGTGGACCCCATGTGGCGAGTGAGAAAGGAATCTATCTCAGCTGGACACAGCAGTGGAAAGAGGAGACTTGTGAGAGTGTTTATGTCACTCCCCTAGTTTGGGTAGAGTTTGATTGAGATGTCGACAGATCTTGCGCTCTTTTAGCGCGGTGTTGGGTATATATCGTCTAGAGTGTTAGAGGCTTATAGATGTGTCTGCAATCACTTTTTTTTGAGGACATTGCACCTCGAACAGAGCTGTAGCTGTCAATCAGTCAGGTGACTTTTGCCAAGGCGCTACACAATCGCTATACCTCAACAGAGTTTGACAAGGAGCCCGTCTTGCCCGTCTTTCTTTCCACTCTTCCCTTTTCTTCCGCTCACCAGCATCGCACTTCATTGTATGAAGAACCGACACTGGTTCCATATGTCCACCGCGTCAACGTCATTCCATCTCGAGCTGCTTGTGCAGTCCAGCCGAGCCACGAAGACCTTCGCCGTCGCATGCGTATCCTCAGAAGCCTCAAGGACACTTCCATCTACGATGATATTGTCGATGCATTATTGCAAGGCTGCCACACAGCTGAGCTAGTTGTCCTATTATGTCTAACCAAAAGCATGCGCTTCCTGCACATCAGCACTCACGATCACCATACAGCAATAGACCATGACATGGGAGAGTGCTTACAGGCTGTGTTCTCGCCGATACGCTTGGCAAGATTTCCGGACGTCCCATATTCAACATTATTGGATTATAGCTTCGTGTTCGGGAGGTCCACTGACTTCACACCGGGTACATTTCAGCCTCGAGGTACATCGCCTTCTTCAAAGCCTTTGCGTCGAAGACTTGGTGAGCGTATTTCAGAGAGGTATGAGGAAAGTTGATGCTCTTGTGGGAAATTGAGCCAATTTGAGCCTAGGTGTCGCGCACAAGCTAGGCGGTGAGTTGTTGCTTTTTCATGTCTTCAATGCTAGGATTTCAGTATCGGTGCGCTGTTGAGTAGGAATGTAGAGCAAAGATCAGAAGCAAAAGAGAAATGTACGAGCGAGGTGCACAGGGCGATGCTCCTCCCGAGAATCCTTGCACTTCCATGTCGATTCTTCCTTTTCTTTTACATCGTCATGTCCAGTCGTCTCATGGGGGATTTCAAGCGGGCATTCCGGGTGTCCAGGTGCCTCTTGGCAAGCGTCCGGATAGGATATATATCAATAATATCGTCTGAAGCAAGGGCCTGTCGTGTCCATAATCCAATCCAGCATATAATCCAAGCGATATTAACAATATTCAATATTATTAAATATTCTCGATAGGATTACGAGGCGTGTATTGTGTCTAACGGCCATTTAATAGCCCCTTTCTAAGTGCAATCTTCTTAATCGAATATAGACCTCCGCGGCTACCGGAGTAGCGCTTTTAGTATCAAATATAGCCTCCGAAGGGCTCTTCGATAGGATTAAGGACCGTGCGTTGTAATTGAGGTTAAGGTTAGTATATAGAACGAGAATAGCGCGAGTCGACGCGTATATAGTAGTAGAGGCGCGTATTTCGAAGGTTCGAGCGTAGGAGCGCTTCGTATAGTATTCGTTTCTCGGTAGTATATAGAGGTCGAGGTTCTTACTATAATTGTTAGCAATAATAGAGGCTCTCGACCGCTAGGCGATTATTAAGCGCAATATTATCTTTACCTTCGGAATACTAGCGATACTACTATAATAGATAGCCGTATATTAGCCGCCTAGAGTACGCACCCTCTATCTAGAAGATAGCAAAGGCAAGGCGGTTACTGCTAGTCTATTAGAAGAAGGCGCTATACAAAGATTGTATAGGTATACGCGCTTCTATCTAGATACGTTTATATACCTATTTTAGCTTATATTACTATATCTGCGGCGTAGAAGGAGTATTAGCAAAGAATAGAAGGTATTAATATTCTTATATACGTTTGCGACTAATAGCTACACTCGAGACCTAGCTAAGGACTTTTACTACTTAGTAGACAAGTGTAGTCGTATAATCTATAAGGTTATAGCCGCTATCTTAGAGGTGTATCTAGTACTTGTTACTCGAGCTGCTACGGACGACAATCTAGCGATTAAGGCGAAGGGGCGGAAATACTAGCCTTTCTTTAAAGACGCTGTTAGTACGCTAGATAGCTCTTATATATTAGTATACGTACTAGTTAACTAGCAAGCGGCATTCTGTAATCGCAAGGGCACGCTATTATAGAATGTATTAGCGGTCGTAGACTATAATATAAGGTTTACCTTTATTCTTACTAGATAGGAGGGCTCCGCTTACGACGGCCGTATACTTAATAATGCTCGCTCGTACTATAGGTTTAGTACGCCGGAAGGACGATATTATCTCGCTAATGCTAGCTATCTAAACAACGCGCCTTATATAGTGCTATATAGAGGGGTACGGTATTACCTACGCGAGTAGTATCTAGCCTTAATAAAGCCGGCGGACTATAAGGAGCTATTTAACCTCCGCTATAGTTCCCTTCGAAATGTAGTTAAGCGGACATTTAGTATATTAAAACGACGATTTCGCATCTTCGAGAGCGCGCCGTAGTATAATATCCGCTCGCAAATAGCTATAGTATACGTTGCTGCCGCCCTTTATAATATCCTCTAAGAGATAGGCGCGAAGGTAGACGAGAACTTCGAATTAGAGGCCGACGAGACTAACGATAGGCCCTTTAATAATGCCGCCGCCGCTATAGAAGAAGATAATAGCGTTAAAGGACCGATAGATAGAATAAGGGATACGCTAGCACTAGAAATGTAGCGACAATATTAACTATACCTAGAAGAAGAAGATAATAATATAGACGAGACTATATCTGCTTAGTTATAGAAGTCGTAGATAGGGAGGGGCTTCTTTATATTCGATAGGGATGTTAAGAATCTTAGTCGTTACTTAGATGTAGCTGTTTTGTATAGAGTTTCTCGTTTCTATAATATAATACTCGACTTCCTACTATTTGTATAGAATTTTATAGAGACAACTTCTAGCTACGAAACTCGGTTTTATATTAGAATCTTAGATCTTGCTAAAACCGCACTAAAAGCTAGCGATACAATAATATTAAAAAAAAGCTATATTCGAGAATAGCTAACAGATCTAACACTTCTAGGCTTAAGACAATAATTCAAACTCTTTAAAGAACTCTTTAACTAACGCTATCGACATAGCCTATTACGCGTCTAACGGCGTACCGAGAAAGATATTAACTATACCGCTATCTTCTGCCGTCGTTATCTTGCGATATAGCAGTCGCTTTTGCCTTAAAGTTAGGTCCTAAAGCTCCTCGTATCTAGCGACGAATTCCGCCGAGAATACGAGTCGCGATAGCGTACGTACTAGTAGCAGTAGTGTTGCTATTATCTCCGCCGTACGATATATTGCCGCGACGATATTATCGATAGACTACTATGTCCGATTCTAAGACTCTAATCGACGACGCTTAGCCTTAACGTTAGCATTATAGATTACCTGCTTTCGAGTATAGATATCGTCCTTCGGCGTATCCGCCTTACTCTCGGTTGCCGTAATAGCTAGATCGGATACTGCTAGCGTAGGAGGTAGAATTAGACTATTAAGCATCGCTTCTATAGATAAAACGTACTCTCTAGTAGCAGTTGTATCGCTAAATGTAAGAAGGGTATATTAGTAGGTAGATAGGGTAGTAGTAGGTATAAGTAGTATTCGATAAGGAGCTAGAAGGAGAGGGAGGAAGGTAGGAGAGTTAGCCTAACGCCAAGCGCCAAGCCCTACCTAAGGCACTAAGACCCTAGCTTTACTCGGCCTAGTTATATGCTAATTACGTGTAACCTCTTTGGCCCTAATATACGCTTCCCTTCTAAAGGCCGCGCCCTCGTAGCCGGTCTTTGTCCTAGTCTCAACCTCTATTGCTACTAACTTAGTAGGTCTAATAAGCTGCTTAGCCCGCGCTAAATTAAACACTTAACTACCTAATTATATAACTATGTTAAACCTTACCTCTAATAATATAATATATAACTCTAACTGCGCTATCTCTATATATAATAAACTATAAAGTAATATATATCTACAAGAATTAAAGGCCTTCGACTAATTACGATACGAGCGCGTCTTCCCTACTATAATAGGTAGACGTACGAGGTATTGTAGCACTGCCTCCGTTCTAAGTAATATCGTATCGAGTTCTTTGCGTCTACTCTTAAAAGACCTAGCAATGTCCGCTTCCGAGGGTTTGTCCGTTTCCGAGGGTTATTGTTCTTATTGTTCGTAGTTTCGCTAGCCCTAATTAGCTAGGTTTGGCAGCCTTTAAGTGTTAATCTTATCTTATCTTTTTAAAAAACACAGCTCGTCTAGTTTCTATAAGTAAAGGCTATTATAAGTATAGTAGTAGAGGTTCGCCTCGCTTAAAGGGTTAGATAGATCGAGGAGTAACCTATTGTCCGTAAGATCGACCCTGGCTAGCTTAGCTCTATAGTTTTGCCCTTAGTTAGTTAGTCTATTAGTCTACTTAACCTTTTAAGCGGCTTAAAGTTTTAACTCGGCCTCAAAGTTTTAATCAAACCTTTAATAGGCTTAAAGCTTTAATCAAAGTTTAATTAAAGGTACCTTAGGCTCGTAGTATAGGTAAGGTTATGTCTATAGGCGCAGCGATAATAGCAAGTAATATTAATAATAGCGGCGCTAGTCGTTTTAGCGCTAACTTCACCTCGCTTCTAATCTCCTCCTTCTACTAACAACACACTCCGCAATACCGTTACTAACATAGCCGCGCCGGCCGTACCGTTATAAGCGCGACGCCGCCCTCGCCGATCGCCTAGGCCTCGAGGCCTCGATAGAATAAAGGAACAAGAGAGGGACCTATAGGGCGCGTTAGTAAAGAGGTAGAGTCCTTAAAAGAGCATACGATTAATTAATTAACGCGTCGTAGCGCGCCTAGCGTAGTCTTATTGTCCTTTATTGCTAACAATTGTTTGTCTCTAATTAGTTAGCTAATAGCACCCTAGGGGTAGTATTAATCCTAGGCGACATTATAGGCCCTTAGCCTTCTTCTTATTCTTCGCGCTAGTCTAATACTTATCTAATAACTCGGTTATATCCTCGAAGGAATCTTTAGCTTCCTATAAGTCCTATTCTAGTAAATAGCCTTGCTATCTTAGGAGGTACTCCTTCTTGCCTCGCCTAGTCCGATAATCTAGGATACGTTCTATAGACTATAGCTCTTTACTATCCGCTAGTATGTCTTCGTGTT